GTGAAGACAGATATCTAGGGAGAAAGCATTGACAATGGAGGCAGAGATTAGATGATGCAGCAACAAGCCAAGGCTGTCACCCAAATCCTGCAGAGAACCATGGAACAGAGCGTCCCTCAGAGCTCTCAGAAGGAACCAACCTGGCCAACACCTGGATTTTGGACTCTAGTCTCCAGGATTGTGAGAAAATAAATGTATGATGTTTAAGCCATCTAGTCTACTGCACTTTGTTACAGCTGCCCTAGGAAACTAACACACTGTCATTCCTAACTTGTTCAGGGCCTGCCTCCCACACCCCCACCTCCCCATGCCCTGGCTGTGAGCTGCTTAGAAATAGGAGCCACTTCGTCTTCTCCATCCTAAATCCCCAGTGCCTGGCACAGATCTGGCATATAGTAGGGCTCTGTAAATATTTGATGAATGACTGAATGGTGACCTAAAATAAATATGAAATTAACTGTATTTATAACTGGGTAGTAAAATTGTAATTCATTTTTATTTCCTTCATGTGACATACTATGTTTTTTAAAGTTACCTCTTTAGAAATGGTATTAATGTTATCGTCAAGAAAAAACTAAGTACATATTTTTATTTGCAAAATGTACATTAAAATAACAGACATTTATACCACTGTGCATTTTGTTAAGAGGGAAAAGTTCTGCTTTATGCTTGATAACTGCTTTTTTATTGATTAATTGATTCTTCTTTATGTCACCAGAGTGCTTTCCGGCATCAGATTTATAGAGTTCGAGCTCTGGGGACTTGTGCAACATAGGTTCCAGGCGGAAAGGACCCAGGCAGACTGTGCATGCTTCTCACCGTCTCTGTTACCCACTGCCTCTCAGAGCTGGTAGGATCGGGCCAGATGTGGCACCTGGCACCTGACAGGGCTGCTAGACTTGTCACTTGATAAGGCCACCAGCCCCAGCCAAAGACACTCCCAAACAAAAGTAAGCTCCTCCCCTCCGTGAATGCACAGCCCAGTGCCTCTCAAATTTAAATGTGCACGTGAATCACCTGGGCGTGTTGTTGACATGCAGATTCTGAGTCCATGGGCCCCAGGTGGAACATGGGATCCTGCATTTCTTACAAGCTCTCGAGGCACTGAGAGACAAAGATAACATTCTCTGGTTGTTCTGCAGAAGGAGTGAACTCTTCCGGATGGGGAGACCAGAGAAGGCATCACGGGGCAAAGCACTGCAGAGCACCTCAAAAGATAAACGGGGTCTGGAGAGGTAGAGGTGGCAGGAAAGAGGTGGGAACTACCTGGGAAGATCCAGAGAG